GGTAACAGCTGTGCACTTTTTAATACTGTTCAACGCCTCCCACGATCGTAAATTGCGAACAGTTTCGGATATTTTGCCCTTTTCCTATATTTCAAGCGCACACGTGACAGTTTTACCAGAGCCGGATTGAAAATATTCATTTATTTAAAACGAAATTCGGAAAATTGACCCTTTTTACCCATTTTATAAATGCGTTTGCGCAGTTAAAAAATTTAAATTTGGCGCGATTGTGGATCAAAATGGCGGCTAATTACATAACCCCTAATTTTTTACAGGTAGCCATTTTGATTTTTTCACTCATATATTACGATTTTAAATTTGTGCTAGCCAATCTGGGTAATAAAAAGCATGAGAATAATTCATGACCTAATCCCCAGGGATTATAAATGTTATAATTTACGGCAGGATTTAAAATTACGTAAAAATTAAATTTTTAATTAATTTTTTTTTGAAAGCTTGATGTAGGACTTGAAACAGAATCGCATTAAGTCTAATTTCGTGAAAGTAATCAATTTACGTTCCTTTCAATTTAAATTTCGCGCCATAAAACGTGTAGACTGATAAAAAAATGCTCTTAAATGTCGGAATTTTGCAGTGCTGGCACCCTAATCCCACTAAAATCCCTCCCCAATCTTCAATTACCATTTGTACAGCAACGATATCAAAAAAGGCGTTAACTTAATAAGCCATCGTGTCCAATATGTCTTCTTGATCCTTTCACAACAGCCGAAAAGCCAATTCTAATGAGAAAATATCGAGTCTCTAAACTCGACATCTCTGTTACCCTCTTGCATATGTGATGTGTGTGCATCACGGAGGAAAATTAGTAAACGCAAGGGAGAATTTGTCTCTGAGGAAAACACTCGATTAGACTTTAATTGTAATGGAACGTTTAAAGTCGGATTTACGTCGATCAAATGTTTTGAGGTTGGAAAAAAATCAAAAGGGTGATGGCAATGTTTGTCAAAGGTGAGGTCGTAATTAAAAGTTACTCCCGGGAGAAATTAAAACACAAATATTTCATTAAAAGAATCAACGAATTTAAAGGCGATGTGTGTGAATTTGTCGCCAATCTTCAATAAAAAATGTACAAAACAAGATTTATAAAATAAGAAGGTTGCAACCAAACATATTATTAATTTTAAAAAATTGCAATTTATTTTGTTAATTAAAATGTTTTTTTTGATTTTATTAGAAATTTCCTCTATAACTAATTAGCGTAGAACACTGACTTTCCTTGTATATGATAGAAAATTTAATTTTCTTTCCAACGGTACCAAATATAAGAGGTTATCTCCAATAAGTCCGGAGTTAATGGCAATAGACCGCTCCGGGTACCAAAAATAGACCAAAATCTCGACAAAAATCGTTAACAAATTTTTACTTTTTTTATTTTGTAAATTGGGGCAAAACTGTGTCACAATGACATAATATTTTGACCTATACCTATGTAAAATGTTCCGGGGAATCGATTGGCGTCAAAAAAACTGCGAAATTCCTAATAGTTTTGAAGTTATAGTCGGATTTAAATTTTCGATATTTTTGAATTTATCACAAATTTTCTCGATAACTATTCATCGTAGAGCACTGAACTTTTTAATATATGATAGAAAATTTAATTTTCTATCCAACGGTACCAAATATAAGAGGTTATCTCTGATAAGTCCGGAGTTATTGCCATTAGACCGCTCCGGGTGCCAAAAATCGACCAAAATCTCGACGAAAATCAAAAAAATTTTTATCTTTAAAATTTATCTATTTTACGTTTTTTACATTTCTAGAGGTCTTAAGGACTCAAATAAGTGCATAAAACGACATTGGGTCGAGTTTCAAAAATTTTGAATTTTTTGAGTTTTTGAAGGTGAGCTGTAGTAAAATCGTAAAAATAGTCAATTTACTAAAAGTCATAAAAACGCTTGAAATATAGTTTTCTAGAKGTAAAATTACGCGCTGAACACGATGCAACAAGTTAAAATACTCTACGATGCWTAGTTTTTGAGATATTGAGTAATAAAGTTAAGAATAAGTCTAGAAAAATCCAATTTTGACCAAAAAAATCAAAATTTTTTTATTCTTATAAAAAACTAACACTATATGTAAAATTAACCGGAGAACACGCCTGTACAAACCCTGTTGACCTAAGACTCATAGTTTTTGAGATATTATTTTTTTTTTGAAAAAACTAAAAATGGCTCTGTACCCGGAACCATAACCCGGAGCGACTTCCGGTTTG